ACTAGAGGGCGTGAGAATAGTCACGTGATCTCGATGACGCAACAATATTAAAAACGTTACTGATTCCATGAGTACTTGTTTATGAACGATTTAAAAAAAACATATTACTTTAATGCATACACTGACTGATCAGGTAAGCCTAAAAATAAAACTGCTTTAAATCTATTCTGAATTCTTTGATCGTGATTGGCCAAAGTATAATGCAGGTGAGTTATGATATATTATAAAGGGCATTGTCCTGATGTAGTTTCAGTATTGGAGCATTACCGGTACATGAATGAATATCCTCTTGGAAGATTGAACTTTACACATCTCTTGAAAAATAGGAAATTGGTCTTGATATTTGAAGCAATTTTCCTCATGATCAACACTACATGTTACTTACTTATATAACAGTCATTTAGGTAATCATTGCTGGGTACACGTTTATTTTCTATACAGTAAAGCCATATTAGGCTATCTACTGTGTATACCACAAGGAATCCAACCCTGGATTTTGGCATTTGAAGTCTGTAAACTTACCACTGTTTCACCAGGGGACATATAGTGCTTATCACTTTCCATTAATGACCACCATTTAGCCTCTTGGTCAATTTTGTTCAATTTTTTTTTCTTTGAGTTGTGTAAAAAATCTCTGTGCTTTCTTTCTAGTTTTATTCCTACAATAAAAACTTTCCTGATAATTAAGGAAGCTTTATGATATTCATTTGCAAGTATAGTGAGAATATGAGATTTACAAAACTCTTCAAGATTTTTTAGTAAATTAACAAACAATGATTTGTAAGCAAACTGATATTTATTGTATAAAAAATACATGTTTTGATAATACCTTAGCTTGTACAAAGAAGAAAGATTAAGGTTCTATTAAATGCAGTATGTTTCTATAATAAATATCAGTGTGTTTACAAATCATTATTTGTTAGTTTACTTCTGTGTTAGCATAATGTGCTTTCTTATAATTATGTCTTGGGTCATAGATATTTGATTATTTATATATTATTTAGTATTTTAATTACTTGTACAGTTAGGTGAAATCATATCATATGCCTCTTTTTACTTGGAATGATATGAATAGCCTTATTCCAAAATAAGAAGAAAAACAAGCATTGTACCCATTCTCATTGATTTTCAGCACAATAATCTCAGCTAAGAGTGCAAGGTGAAATAAGATCAACCCTCTGATCTCAGCTAAGAGTGCAGTGTGAAATAAAATTAACCCACTGATCTCAGCTAGAGTGCAGTGTGAAATAAGATCAACCATTTGATCTCAGCTAAGAGTGCAGTGTGAAATAAGACCAACCCACTGATCTCAGCTAAGAGTGCAGTGTGAAATAAAATCAACCCACTTATCTCAGCTAAGAGTGCAGTGTGAAATAAAAATCAACCCACTGATCTTAGCTAAGAGTGCAGTGTGAAATAAGGTCAACCCATTAATCTCAGCTAAGAGTTCAGTGTGAAATATAGTCAACACAATAGTTACAGTTAAGAGTGTAGTATTGAATAGTCAACACAATGGTTACAGTTAAGAGTGTAGTATCAAATACAGTCAACACAATGGTTACAGTTAAGAGTGTAGTATCAAATACAGTCAACACAATGGTTACAGTTAAGAGTGTAGTACTGAATACAGTCAACACAATGGTTACAGTTAAGAGTGTAGTACTGAATACAGTCAACACAATGGTTACAGTTAAGAGTGTAGTGTGGAATAAGGTCAACATAATAGTTTCAACTAAGAGTTTGGTTGGTTTGTTTGGAAGTTCCTGCAAAGCTACATAAGGCTTATCTGCACTAGCCATCCCTAATTTAGCAGTGAAAGACTAGAGGGAATGCAGCTAGTCATCAACACCCACTGCCAACTATGAGGTTACTCTTTTACCAATGAATAGTGGGTTTGACCGTTACATTACAATGCCTTACATGGCTGAAAGGTCAAGCATGTTTGGTGGGGCAGGGATTCGAACCCGCGATCCGCAGATTGTGAGTCAAGCTCCCTAACCACCTGGCCTTGCCAGGCCTTTTCAACTAAGAGTGCAGTGATAGATAAAGTCTCAATTTTTTAAGTACAAGCTTTCTATCTGATTAATTGCTAATCTGGCATGCACAGATTTACTTCACAATTGTTCATAAGTTAACTTTCTCACACAGTTTCCCAGTTCACAGTAATTGCAATTACTATAAATATCAATAATATATTTTAACAAACTTGAGCAAAAACACAATAGCCAACAATAATGAATATTCCATGTTTCTATTGTTACCTAAACTCTTGACACATGCATATTTGAATTAATGATAGGATAGTTTTCTGTATTTCATACAGTACTGCATTCATTACTTCTAAAAGGTTTTAGTTATCAGTGTATAAGACATAACAAATATTACAGACAATATATTTTATTTCATACAATAACGTGAAATACTTTCATATTTTTATTGCAAGTAGATTAATCATATATAGGAAACAAACATTTTCAATAACTTCTCTAAAAGTGTTTTAAAATCAGGTTGTTCTTAATATAATATGTTTTCATAAATTGAATTATTTTTAAAATAAGAGATTTTTTGATGATTTCTTTTAGACAGGAAAATAAGCAACAACGGATCATTTACTGAAAACTATAGAGAATGTAATGAAATGATGGCAGTTTTTCTTAAAATGAAATTCATTGCTGAAAATATTGTGCTGCAGATCTGTTTATTTGTATTTAAGCAGAAAATAACACCATGATTAACTGTAACATTTGATCTTATGGTTTAAAATAGGTGGTTCAGCTGTCTAAATCACTTCTGAAATGCACCATTTGCTACACCCAGCCAAGAAGGCCCACACCCAGACGTACAGTGCTAAACAGTAGAAATAAAAGTCCAAGATACTGAAATCCTCCTTGCAGTCTTTTCTGTGGATCTGTTGTTTAAAATAACTTTGTATGAAATGAAATAACATAAAAACAGGAAATATAGATGCTGGAGGTATCCACACATTACAAAATTTAAAAAATTCAGAAAACAGCAAAGATGTGATAGAAAAATTATATCTAATAAAAACAACATTTTGCCACTGTTAAACGTGGCATCATCATGGATGCCATATTAACAGTGGTGAAATGTTATTTTTATTTGATTTTTTTTTCTATCACATTTTAGCTGTTTTCTGTATTTTAAAATAAAAACAGGAAAGAAAGATCCTTTCATTAGAGGATTACACATATGTTTTGGGTTAGGAATTACAGATTAAAACTGATAATATTCAAAAATTAAAGAATCAACTTGGTAACAGATGTCTAGTGCAAAATAAAACCCTAAACTTATGTTAATTCAGTTGAATGCATGCATAAAAATTTGTTCTTGTAAATTTTCTGAAATTTTTTTTATAAAATAAATTCCTGAAACCAGAAACTGAATAGCATTTTTAAACACAGTTGAAAGTACATTTTAAATCTTAATTAATTATACTTAAGTAATTTTTGTGTAGTACTATGTGCAGACAATGAATAGAAGATCATATTAGTGAAAAATACAATCCCACGAATGTGTATGATAAGAAAACACACTCACTTTTAAATTCTAGAAGCATGTTTTTGTTATAACTGGGGTCCAATGCTCATCACAACTTTACTATTAACTCTATCAACCTCCTATAGATACTTATACAAACTTACCTCCTGTAGAGTATCCAATAGCATACACTATTCTCCCAAGTAACCAAACCAACCCTGCAGCTGCTCCAAGTTGCTATATAATAAAAATAGTGAAATCTCTTGAATATAACAATCATGTTGCACCTTGGTCTAAAAAACCATTCATACAGTAAAACTTTAGTTATTCAACTTTCACAACAAGTATGTTATCATGCCTTTTTACTGTTGGAAGAATGCTTTTGTTTGATTTTCCTCAAGTCTTTTTCATTATCAACATTATACAACCATAAACCGTTGCAAATTTACCTTGGCAGTGATTACAAAACAAACCACTAATAATGTAGCTCACGTAGTAAGCACATAAATATCTATTATAAAAGGCACAACCACATTTTAGAACAAAATTCTTTGAAAATAAAATAAATTTAGAATTGTTTATGCACATAAATGATGGTCTAAAATCAATGGTAATCACAAGAAAGACAGTTACTTTTATATATACAAAATTTTTATCAGAAGGTTCTCCTATTGATTAACTCTAATGAATGTTTATGTATTGTAGTTTATATACGAAAGTTATTTTAGGGGTACTGTAACAAACATGTGTATGTATCACAATATGTACAACATAAGCATACCAGGTATTTTCTACTTTCTTATCTTAATATAGTATTGTTCAAAATTTGTCATATATTCTGGTATGTGCAGTTTTCATACAACACATAAGGAAGAAAGTCATTAAGTTCTTTTGTTTCTAGCTGCTATGGTTCTTTGTCAGTCTCTTGAGATAACATCTGGAATACCCATAGGAGAGATGGCTGTAATGTTGCATACTGTGTAAAGATATTAACAGTAGTGTCCTCCAAAGGTAGGTCAGACGATACCTTGAGGTTATAGTCTTCCACCTGTTTGAATGGGATTGACCAACAGTAATTAAGGTGGTGGTTGCACTGTAAGATGGACAGCATAATAGAACTTGGTATATAATAGTATGATCTCTTAGCTCTCTCTCTCTCAAGGTCATGTCCTCAGTTTGGTAAGTGAAGTTTAACTTCTTTTTTTTGGAAATAGTAATTCTATCCAAAAGTCTAACCTTTTGATAAGTTGTCAGGAGAATTTAAAAACTTAGTTACTAACTAAATGTGATGTCCTTCATCCAATACACAATATTTTGATTGTTTTTCAGTTTCAATAAAAATGTGGTTTTACTGTGTGTATTAATTTGTGTCCAGTCTTTTCTTTCTTTCTCAAACTCAAATTCAGAGGACTCACAATTACTTCACAGTAAATATCATGTTGAATCTCCTATTATTCAGTAGACCTATCCAACCACTCTAAGGAAAATACCATTGATTAAAATTTTCAGTAATGCACAAAACACAATTGTCTAGAAGTATTATTATATGAACCTGCAAATCCACATATTGACAAAATTATCCATTGCTCAAACAGCAACAACATGCTAAATATTTTGATTTGAATCATATAAATTCAAATATATCTAATGAAATAATGGTTCATAATTCTAAAAGCCAACAGATTCTACAGGTTACTTCACACAAAAACTTAATATCAATACAATATTTGATGATGAGAAATGAAAAAAAAAAAAAATTAGGAGATCGTGTAACAAGTGTTACTGAAAACTATCTGTATCACAATATTTTTATCTATTCAACCCTATGTAACCTGTATCTGTTTAGCAGCTTAACACTGAGCTTTTCATAGTGATGAAAAGTTGAAATATGCTATATACTTAATCTTGAGTAACAATAAACAGACTGAGTGACTTATCTTTCTTTAAAAGACCTAAATATGAAATATCAAAAACAACCTTTGAAATGCTGAAATAACTGAAAAAAACAAAATCACAAAATTTTCATATATGTATAGAATGAGGATTTTGTGATTTTTTTTTTGGTTGGCCCAGTCACTAAGTTTAACATATTTTATACTTCTCTTCATTGCAAACTTGCCATGCAATCGTAATTTACATATTTATTCTATGATGTTTCAATATTTGTATATATTTTCAATGAATTATAAAAATAAATCATTGTGTTCCAGGATAACTGTACAGTAACTTAAATGACGATAAAACTTATAGTAGTAGTTTAAGCATAAAATAATTTTAAAAATATGATTTAAATTTTTTGCCACAAATATTTGTTCTTCTGTATATTTTAATTTTGGTCCTTATGGTGTAAATTAAATGTACCGTAAATTTAAATACAGATATAAAAATATCAGCTAATGATTAATCACAAAAAACAAAATTAATTGAAAACAATCTCCATTTAATGCTTGTTAAAAACAATACTTAAAACTTTATGATGTTGAAAATGGAAGCAACTGTATCATGCATAAAAACACTTCAAGTTGAATACCAGCAAAGCACCCATTAATAGCAGTTAATCTTACAATACTTTTATATCTATGCTTCATTATTAGCTAATTAATGATACTTCACAGTGTGAAAACTGCAATAACTCATTTTGAATATTACTTTAAAACTGATCAGGGGGTACTGTGCTTTGTTAATTTTAAGTTTTCAAAAATGTTTGCTGATTCTATACAACTGTTAAAACATTTTATATACTTTTAACTTCTCTATATTTTCATATATCTCATACTTATAGTCACTTTTCATGAATGCACACCAATTCTGATTACATATGCTTATCTAGTTCCACTTACAAACAAGTAAACTGTTAAAATCTATTGAACTTTAGCCCTTTTTTGATGGGGTAAATAATTTTTTCAGCATTTTTCTGCTTCAGTTAACAATGCATAAATTTATCAAAAAAAGTTATAAAAGTTAAGCTTTTTAACTATATTTGATCCATAATTGGCACTCCTACTGATCTATACAAGAGTTATTATCTATTAAAAATGCATAAATATCATGCAAAATACAGAATTTTAACAGTTTTAAATTTTTGCATTTACTGAGAGTCAAGCAGGTTTTAATAAACAAGCTACATCTATTACTATATGTAGGAAATCTTTACAAAAAGATAACACATACACAAGAAAATGTGATACCTTTTCCAAGTTAACTGTACACGAAAGCAAACAAGTCCTCAAACCATCCCTTTATTATTCTATCTTTCATTATAACATTTTAGATTTTTGTTTAAAACAACACACATTTAAACAACTGAACTACATTAAAAACTAAAAACAAATAAACTGGTGAGGTACTTTCCTTTTCTTATTTTTAAAGGCATAAAAGTAATCAGCAATTATCACTTATAAAGCAATTGTTTGATTAATATCACTTTAGTTTTGGACTGTTAATAAGAACTGGTATGATGATAAATGAGTTGTGATATTGTTTTTTCGGTGTTCAAAGTTTCTAGTTGTACAGTATATAAATAAGTCATCGGACATCACATCAATATAGTATAAACTCTCAATCAGCAACAAGATTAAAAATAAAAGCAAACTCTTTTTGTCAATACAGATAATTTCTTTGTGAGAGTAGCCAATATTTAATTTATTGGATAAAGCAAAACACACAAATTTGGTAAAAATGTGTTTCTTCAAAGAAGCATGGACAAACATACAAATAAAGTGTTCAAACAAAGTTCTCTTTGAAAATCTTGATAAAAGTATACACCTGTATTAACTATAGGCCAAAAAAATAATAAAAGGTTTATTTCAGCAATCATAAACATGTTTACAGAAGAACATACAGTATTTAGAGAAGAGATGAAAATTCAAAACTTACAGGATAATGAATTCCACCTAGGAGCAGTAAAACTTGAAACTGTGTGAAATTTTCTAAACTACATAATGAAAACAAAATAAAAGTTTAAGTCTGGAGTTAAATATAAAATATATTTAACAAAAAATATATAAAAAAATCAAAAATAAAGCATTTGTTCCTCTAAATAATTTCAAACATTAGAATGATATTTCCCAAACACATATATCTTTGTTACACATTACAATTCATTCGCAAATTTTAAAAATCTGAGTAAAAAAGCAAGTCAGCTTTTTGCATATCTACACCCTGTCACCACGTAATACAAAAAATTGGATCAGAATGCAACAGCATAGTTTAACTCTATCCTTACGATCTGGTCAAAATGTGCATTTCATAAACTTTTACAAAATTTAATCAAACAACTTTGTTATCACTAGATGTCAATAAAACTGGAATGAAGAGTTTATGATTCAAAATATGTAATTTTATTAACATGTAAGTCACCTTTCACTCAAACTGACTTGGCAATTAAGAAATTTACAAACAAATTTTTAGTAGAAATACTTTATTAAAAACTTTGATTTTTGTGTGTGTATAACACTTAATTTTTACCAGGGGCGAAATGCTAAAAAAAAAAGTAGACATATTCAGCTGAGTGAAGTGGACCTGGTTTTGAAAAAGAAAAAAAAATCTATGTAAACATAAAAAATTACAAAGCAGCTCAAATAAGTCCCAGTACTAGTACTGCCTTAAAAAATAAGTTCCAGTACTCAGTATTAGTGAGTACCAGCAGAACTTCACCCCTGATTTTTACTAAAAGCTTGCCAAATTTCATAAAAATACATGTAGTAAACTACTAGAGTTGTAGTATGTATAGTTTCACAGATTGGTTAAATTGACTAATCAGGGAAACTGAGAAAGAAGAACTAAAATTTGGATAGAAATATATTCTAATTTTACAATAAACATAATTTTTTCATGATGATAGCATTAAAAACTATGATTTAATAGTGCTCAATATATATAATTAAATATGTTCTCATACATTTTAAACGAAAGCAAAACTCCAAACATGTGATACTACATGTACTGTTCTCTGTAGATAAATAACTTACAAGTTTTGATGAGCTCTCTGAATACAGTTGAAGACATTGTTGGATTCACTGTACATAACGGGGTACTAAGTAAACAGAACAAAAAAGGAATATAAGCATCATGTGAAACATCTAAATATCACAAACAAGAAATACAACTTTACGTTACAATTATATGCAGTGAATGTACAATTACAATATTTAATAGGAAACTGAAATGTAAGAATCTGAAAAACTTTGTATAACCTATACATATATATACATGACTGAAAAAGAACAGAAGAAATTGTTAAAGTAATATACAATAAAGAGCCTCAAAAAGGTTTTAAACCATCCAAATTAATATAGACTTTTAACCTTTCTTTTTACACAGTAAACAAAATGTGCTAATTAGACAACAAAGTTACATCTTGCTGATTCATAAACCATATGTTTATATTTTATATCCCTTCCCCAAGAACTACATCAATAAGCCATGTTCTAGACTAACAGCAGAGGTCTGTGTGAACTTATTGACAAAAATAAAAGTCAGTATGAAATAAATAGACAACAAAAGATCAGTACAAAAAGAAAGTTTATTCCCAAAAATACATTTAAAAACCTAATTAAAATATTGTTACGACAGCTGAAGTCACGTGATGCTGGTAACACGTCAAGAGCTTCTAGAACGTTGGTGTCCCTTCCTGAAGCCTCGAGTGTTTACTAGATGTGCGGTATTCTTGTATATAAGACTGCCAAGAACTGACGGCAACAATGTAGTTGAATTGCAGACAAAGATAGAGACAGACAGTTGGGTCGAGCGCATGAGTCGTTCGTTGTGAATTATAGCATTTGTTTAAGTTATAACGTGACCGTGGAAATTAAGTGAATTTCAAAGTTGTATTGAGAAAGAATAAACTAGTTTTATTTAAGAAAGAACCTGTGTCACTAAAGTTTCATCGGAAAGAAATTATACGGGAAATTAACTAACGACCAAAGACGTAACAATATACTATGCATTAACATCACAATGACCATCAAAACTTGCTCCCACAAAACAAATTTAATGTATTTGTTATAAGACTAAGTCACAGGACCAATAACATGGTTCCTTGTCTAAAGTAATGTATACATAGTATTAGAGGTCTATTTCTTCAGATTACAAAATTGTTTAACATTTTATGTTCAGTGCTTCATTTATACACTGATCCTTAATATTACAATTCTCTCTAAGTGTTAGATAAGAACACTATTATCCCTGACTCTATTTTCACTTTATGTAAGCAGCAAGAAAAAAGTTAAATTTAATGTTTTGAGCCACAAAATATTTGTATTCTTTCTTACCATTAACAACAGTTTCTTCTTTTTACTTAAATAAACTTCTGCATACTCAATTCTATTAGTATATTACATGTTATTGTGAACTATGTGATTTTAAATTTAATCAATAATTCATATTTTGTTCTATTTTGGTTAGGAGGTATAAGTTCCTTTTCAGTTAGCTTGTTTGAACTGTTTAGATTAGTCATCCAATGTCTCTTTCAAAATAATTTTGAAAGTTTCTGGAAGTCTACGTTTAGTTAACCCCTATAGTTATGTTAGTTTTGTTAATATTCCTTGTCATGAGCATAATTCAATTTCATGTATTAATATGTTAGCATTTCACTGTAGCAGAAAAGGTAAAGTCATGTGGTGGAGTACATGTTGGTCTAAAAATTCTCAACCAAGACTGAGTATTTTCTCAACAGATAATACTTATCAAAAAAAAAAGCACAGACCATTCTGTGATACACTGAACTAATGTTTATTGTTTTCTGAACAATGACAAGTATCATGCTTCATCAAACAATGCAAGTAATTGATGACAGAAGTATTTCAAGAACACAGGATTTTTATTGCCTTAAGATGAGTAGTGGGTGATCCAGTATAAATGAAGATACTATTACTTCAGTAATTGAGGTCTTATATTCTTGGATATGCTGGAGATTTTTTCTCCCCTTTTTACAGTTGGAAGCTACTAACTATAGGCACATTTCTTCAAGAAACAGTGTATCATCTTAATTTGCACTTTGGATTCATCATCCATTAGAATATGTCCTACTGAAACACTGAACTGTTACCTTGAGCACAGTGCTCTTCTGATCTTATGTCACTGGATTTTTGACTTTGAGACAAACCAAGTCAACGGATTATGCCCTATGTTCAGTTACACTTGTAGATCTGAAGCGCAGCAACATGAAAACAATAAATAAAATTACACAATACCTACTTTCCAATTGGAAAATATGTCTATGTAAGTGCACTAAGGTAAAAGCATGAACTAAATCTTAATAGGTAACACATAATTTACCATGTTCTATACTTTTTTATTAAAGTTATAATGCTTTAAAATGTGTACAACAATATGTAGATGCTCTACAGTTTATGTTGCCTGAAGCTGGCAATGTATTTCTTCATGTATGTTACTTTCACGAATGCCCTATATATTTAGTTTACATAATTAATTTTAGAAACATTTACTAGAAAATCAGTGTTATTCCTATGAGGGTGAAAAAAATTCTAAAGTCACTTAGGAGTAAAGAACCAACTAGAGAACATGCTATATTACAATGAGTGTTGTTTTTCTTACTGAGAAGAAAATTGTTAGAAGTGATGTTTAAGTTTTACAGTTGTTTTTATTGCTGAAGAGGATCTGTTAAAAGTGTCCTGTTTAAGAAATATGCTTATTTTCAATATTGAGGAAGATACTGTTAGAAATGTTCACTGAAAAAAACAGTTGTTTTTAATACTGAGGAGGATACTCATAGAAGTGTTTTCTGTTTAAGACATAGGGTTGTATTTGATAATAAGGAGGGCACTGTTAGAAGTGCTATGTTTAGAAACTAGGGTTCTTTTTACTAAAAAGAAACACTGTTAAAGTTTCATTGAAAAAGTAGTTATTTTTAATACTGAGAAGGATCTGTTAGAAGTGTTCTGTTTAAGAACTAGGTTTTTTTTTAAATACTGAAGAGGATACTGTTAGAAGTGCTCTGTTCAACAACTAAGGTAATTTTTACTACCAAAGAAAAAGCTTTGGAAACTCATACCAAACCTTAAGAAACATTACTGGTCTTTCAAGAGTTTAACTAGCAATGTGGTGTGTCATATCAGTTTCAGTATATATATATATATATATATATATGCTTATGTTAAATAGGTCATACAGATAGAGAAATAGGTGTGTTACGTCTCCGTTTGTTAATTAACTTTCCATAACTTCTTTCCGACGAAACTTTAGCGATACAAGTCCTTACTTAATAAAACTGGTTTATTCTTTCCGAATACAACTTTACGATACACTTATTTTCAAAAGTCGCTCTATAACAAACGCTATATCAACGAACGTCAACAATAATTCTGACTGCAGTTCAATTACTCACTACCTACACACACATCGTTATCCCGTCACGTTGTCACCTTCTTTTATATACCAACCTACCCTATGTCTAGTAAATGCTAGAGCATTCGCCAAGGTACAGGATAGTTCTAGAAAGCAGAGGGCGTGAGAATAGTCACGTGATCTCGCTGACGCAACAGGAGCTAGTCATCACCAAATCTTGGGCTATTCTTTTAGCAGCTGTGACGGATTTACTATTATATATTTATCTTAATATCGATGTTTGTTTAAATTAAATTTATATTTAGAAATATACATAACTTATACTGTTAAATATGTATTA